ACCCTGTGGTGTGACTATACGCAGAAAGCCCACAATACGCTTTGAATTTAATATGTCTTCAGAATGCAAATGGGTCTTCCTAAATACTGTAGTGCTTCAAGCATGTTTGCTGAAGCAGGTGTTAATAATTTTTATAGCATCATAAAGAAGCGAACTGCGCCAATGTTATGCAGCCTACGCAAGAGCTCAAATGGTGTCTTGAGGATATTTCAACATAGGCTTGACTGTCCCATTCAGAGGAATTTTATCCTAATCCATGTGGGTGGGACATTCAACTGATTGCTCTCGTCCTATTTATTATTTTTCTTTTCTTATTTTTTTTTCAATGTAGGGCATTATGATGATACGGGCTGTAAGCCAAGTAGTCATAATTTGTTGGTTTTACGTATCAATCGATGTATTATCCAGAGCATTTTCTAGGATTTGTACAACATTTTCGCACTAAGCGACAAGTATTTAAAATAGCTGCTTTTTGCAGTTTAATATATACATTTGGGGGTAAATCTAATAACGTAAGACAGTGATGCAAATATTTTAGTATTAACCTGTAGCTGAAAGTACAATTGGAACGATGAATACTTTATTTAATTTCCATATTGTTTTAATTTCTTTGCTTAGTTCGTTATATTTACTAATCTTTTCGGCTATTTTGTTTTTGATTATATTATAGGTACGTATTTGGTACACGTCGATTAGAAAGGTTATATTGTTAACTTTGTCTTGCAAAGTTAACAATTTTATTATTATTATATTTTTACTAACTTAATTTATGCTAATTGCTAACAAATGTGTATGGATATGTATATCTGAAATAAACATTATTGTTATTATATCAGTCCTTATAATTTTTAAAGTTAAATTATCATTTTACAAGATAGTTATAATATATTGTAATAAGTGATGGTGTAATGTTGAAAAGTGGTGTTAATAAGGATTAATTTGCCTAAGACTTTAATTGGACTATTTCTATTCTAAACATAAACACTAATATTTGTTGTCAGGGGGCTACACTAAACTTGTAATGTTTTTTTTTATATGAGAGAGGGCAAACGAGCATACGGTCACCTGATGACTTGACTACCGCCGCCCATGAATAACCATAACACCAGGGAAACCACAGATGCGTTGCCGGCCTTTTAAAAAAGGGTATGCTCTTTTCTTCAAGGTCCCTAAGTCGTATCGGTCCGAAAAATTGCTAGTGGTATTCGATTCCATAAGGAAGTTGTGCGAGAAAGAAAACTTCTTTTAAATCGCACAGTAGTGGTCCACTAATCATCCAAATGGTACGGATGGTAGCTCGAGTTCTGTTGCGATGTGCGATGGTTTGAGCGGTTGGAATGAGTCCGAACAATTCCTCTGAGTACTCCCTGTGGAAGATACGATAGAATACGTAGAGATGCAACTTCTCTTCGCAGCGCTAGTGAATCAAGCCGATCTGAAAGAGCTCGGTCGCCGACGATTCGAACCGCTCTGCGCTGGATGCGATCAAATGGAAGGAGCTGGCACTGGGGCACTATCATATGCGGCCGAACCTGTGCTTTGTATAGTTGCAAGCGGTGTGCCGGTATGACCACAAGTTTGTCCATGAGCAGTGTTAATTAAAAATTAACGTGTAAACGAGAGCAGTTTCTGCCGACAAACTGTTTAATGGCTTGGGAGACTATATTCTGAAATAAATTGTACGATTTATTTGTTAAAAAGTAAATAAATTAAAAACATATATTATTTCACCAAAACATGCTCGTTAGTAACAAAGCTTTACTCCTTACCGTCATGTTAATGAAATTAGCTCGTTAAATGAAACACATTTAAACTTTACTTAATTAACAACACTACTTACTCGAAAGATAATTTTTCAGTAGGTACATTCAGTAGTTTTGCTCCTATGTGAGCAAAACTAAAATGATGTTAGCAAACTAAATTTAATTAGTTGCATAATTTTATTATAAAACAAGCTTTGATTACCTATGGGTATTAAAATGAATCAACGGTATATATAGATATTACAATAAACATATCATAACAATTCTTTCCATTTTTAATAAAGATTATTGTATTATTGGCTTTTAAAAAGAGGATAAGTGTAAAGTTTCTTTAGCCATTTCCACAGTAGGTATAACCTTCTACCGAGAAGACGTATCTTCCACGGACAGAGGACCTTGTTTTGAAAAAAAAACCTGCTGATGTTTGACAAATGATATTTTAATTTCTTACGCTGAAAACTAAATAGTTTTCTGCCGGAGACGGTACTCAATTCGACTGTATGTTTTTTTATGTGCGTTACCTCATTACTTTTTACTGGGTGAACCGATTTCGATGATTCTTTTTTTATTTGAAAGCTGGTACTTTTCGTGTGGTGATGGATTTGATCAAGGTCAGACAGAATAGTTTTTGGGTTATTCTTAATAACTTATATTGAAGTCGGCAGTACTTAATTTTTTAATTTTAAATTATCACTTACCGTTACAGCCTATAAAAAGTCCACTGTTGAACATAGGCCTCCCCATAGATTGCCTCATAGTTGCAACTATGGGGAGAAGAACTCATAGGGGATATTTGCCATTGTTGCCATGCTTGGAAGGTGGGTTAGTAACCGCAGTTTTTTTATAATTTATTTCTTATTACGAAGACGCTTCTGGTCATCTCTTGGTTAATTTAATTTAATTTCAACATACAGAAAATTTAAACATCAGTTGCCTCGAAAGGAACAAAGGGCGCACAAAATATTAGAAGAAAGGAACTAAAGCGAATATTGCAAATGAGTTAGACCAGCACTCGACCCGCTAAGCGCCTTTTTTTGTTCCTTTTATAGCTATCGGCTATTTGAAAAATTTCTCCCGTCAATCGAGCACTTCCCATGATATAAACGGTCCGAAAGTTTTCCTTTTGCCTTTCTATTTAAAAAAAACTCACGGACCGTTTGAAATTCGAATACGACCATGAGTGGTTCTTTGCAAATATAAATTATCGATTGAAGCTCTTTCATTCGTTCTTAGTTAGAGTTCATGTGGTTGCTTTTTCAGTAGTTGAATGATAATAAAATTTAATTCGTTGAAGACATATCGTATAATTATAACACGTTCCACTTTATTCTTTTTAATTCCATTTTGTATCTTTTTTGGAGCCTTGGTCTCGGTAGGTTTTTTTATATAGAAGAGAAGGCAAATAAGCATGCGGTTCATCTGAAGGTATGTGATTACCGCCCAAGGTTTTACCGCAACACCAAAGGATTAGCAGGTGCGTTGATAGCTTTTTAAAAAGAAGTAGGATATTTTCCAAAAGATCTCTAAGTTGTAGCGGTCCAGAAAAATCGGTGGTTATAGCAGATTTTAGGTCTGTCATCCTTATTGTATTTAAATCGTTAAAAACACTATAAGGTTTAAGATTTGCTGAGTCATGACAAAAAAAGAAGACATTTTTTACTTGAAAGTATATATAATACTAGTTGATCTATGCCCACTTTGCTGGGCGTCAAAAATTTAAACTTTTGATGAAATTATCTTGTGTGGTTCTTAGTACTGAGTGTTTAGGATTTATTTTCAGAATTGATTGACAAATATGTCATTTCACATTAGAAAAAAAGAATTATTTTAATTCACCTACAAACAATCAAATGTAGCCCATGTCACTCAGGAATAATCAAGCTTTCTACTGGTGAGAGAATTTTTAAAATCGGTTCAGTAGTTCCAGAGATTACTTCCTACAAACAAACTCACAAACTTATATTATAATAACTTATAATATTAGTATAGAAATACCTACAAATGTAGTAATAATGACATGATGAGATGAATTTAACTCAAACCTTACCTTCATGGTTAAAAGTTAAATACTACTGAGGATTATTACGTTTCCGAGCAATATTAAAACACATTTTGTTTCACTGGAAAAACGATTCTAGAAAAACATTTTTTATGGGATTAAATTCGATGGAAGTCATGTCTGGGGAATTGGGAGATTAATGTCGCTAGCAGTGTGCCTGAATTGTCTCTATCGATACGATACTATACGATATAAACAAAAGTAAACATGATATAAATATTAAAACCAAAATACATTGCTGAATAAATTGTATTGAATTTTTTTTTCCAACTAAGTCGTAACGTCAAAAAACAATAAACCACGAAAAAAATAGAATTATTTGAAATTCGGAATCCTATGGTAGGAAAGATGTTTTAAATTTTAATTGAGTTTAAAAGAAATGTGTAATTACTATGCATTATATAATAAATTAAATGTTCTATACTTAAATTATCATCTGAAATAAAGATAAAAATTTAATTACGAATATGTACTCGGTCTGATTTATTAACATTTTTTATGATCAAATTTCTTTAAATATAATTGAAAATAATAACTAAAATTAATGTTGTCCTTAATTTTATTTTACAAATATTTTAAAATATAAATCTCAGGTCGATTCATCGATACGAGTCGGTCGACCTAATGCATAAATAATTAGATAGCGATACTATTTTTCATATTATTTTATTTTATTACCTAATGACATAGCGGTTCCTCATATTAATATTATATATTATGATAATAATATAATATATATTATATATATAAAACTAGCTGTTCCCCGCGACTTCGTTCGCGTGTTAGGGTTTTTATGTTTCTGCGCGGAACCCTGATTCTTTTTCTAAAATAAAAGTCGCCTATGTTACTCCTTATGAAATCAGTTATCTGCCAGTGAAAGTCCCGTCAAAATCGGTCCAGCCGTTTCGGAGATTACCCGGAACAAACAGACAGACAGACAGACAGACAGACAGACAAAAATTTTAAAAATTGTATTTTAGTTATAGGTATCGTATTTACTTTCATATGCATTTAGTAAAAAACTGTAATTTTGACATTACAAACAGACACTTCAATTTTATTTATTTGTATAGATTAGTAAAATGGAAAAACTTAGTCTGGCAAAAGTTATATTTTATACTACGCTAGATTTAAAAAAAATCCATAGTTAACAGTCACGTCTCAGATATGATTTTTACCTTGTTATCCTTCTGCCACGAGCAGACACCCTTCTTATCGGAAATGCGGCACTTGAGCAGTGCATCTTCGCCCGGATTCACCTCCGTATACGTTGGCAGCTCAACAAATCGTTGCACTCCATCTGGAATAAGTTGAAAATCTAAATTGAAATTGAATAGAAATATGTATGTATTTACGCAAAAATTAGAAATATTATAATATGGTGTTGTTATTTACTCACAAATATATACAACAGACGACCTACGATATTAGCAACGACGAAAATTGATCACGTCGATCTAAATTTTATTTCATAATTTATTAAAAGCTGTGATATGTCCTCCAGATCGAATTTCTGTAATGGTGAACAAGTATTTGTGCTAACACAGGTGTACTCTCTATTCTCTCACTGTTATAGACCAATGGGACGGTAAATATAATAATAAAATTGATATTAACAATATCAATGACGCCGTTTCAGCTCAAGCTCTGTTTGCTCGCCTACTCATTCATTTCAAACGAAAACGGTAATCCTCTTCCTTACCCAAAATACTACAATTTAAAATTAATGTAAACTAAAGTAAAGATAATTGAATTCCTATAATTTCCAAAGGAGTACTTATGATTTTTCCTTTATAAAAGTACAACACCAGCGTAAAATAGCAGCTTAATGCAGCTGTGTTTCGTATGGTGAGTGTAGAGAACCGGAGACCCTTTTTACTGGAACCGAGGCATTTCATCTTAGTGCTCAGGGGTGGTCAACGCATCTGCATTTTGGTTCCTAATTGAGGATGGATGTAGTTGATATGGGCCACAGAAACCACTTACCATCAGGTGGGTGAATGGTGCTCGTTTGTCACCCCCATTCTATAAAAAGAAATTTACTCCAATGATTTGAAATTAATTGTGCAAGAACTTATGACTGAGAGCAAAGAAAATAATATTGAAATTATTTTAAATTATATTGCACCAGTGTCATCATTGTCTGCGTCGTGTGGTGGCACTCATTACAACAATTAACCAACAAATATGAAATTGAACCAACAATAAATGAAAAGGGAAAGATCATTTTCACTAGTGACAAGTTATGCTACCTTAGTCCTCACGCGTGACAACGCATTCACTTTCGATTGATATCGTGTCAATCCCGAGTTTAAGCTCAACCTCGACAATGTCAAAAGTTGAGCCCGAATCATAGTATTATGTTACACGAGATCCGAATCTAAATACTTGTATAGATGGAGTGACAACCTGCATGCATGTAGTCGATGGACGGTATTCTGTGGCAATCTATGGGGAGAGCTATGTTCATCAGTCAACTTGTGTTGGAATGTATTTATTTATAATAAATGTAAAGTGCAGTAAAAATAATATTATCTAGGCCAATCTAAACCACTGCATTCCAGCCACTAAGAGTCACCTGTATACGGCTTATTGTTATGCTCACCGCGATACCGCAGTTGTTCCGACTCTTACTCATCCATACTTTTCTTATACCAATAAAATGACTAACCGATAACCTTTTGAAGGCTCAAAACTGTTTGAAAGATGTGTAGATAAGACTTACTATATCAGAGACACGACAGTTTTAAAATATGCCGGTGGTCCCAAAATATAAAAACGTAAAGTTTCAGCCTATGTACGTTCTAATCCTAGGTACACATCTCCCATTTCTAACAAGGTTTTTAGGGCAAAAAAGTCTTAAAACTGTTCAGGTGGTGGTTTGATTAACATGACTTGCATTAATACTCTAAGCACTTTTAAACGATTTAAAAAAGGAGATTTTTTCTTCTCGGATTGTTTTTAATGTAATAAATTATTTAATAAATTAGTATAAAAATGTCATAATTGGTGGAATTTGGAGCGCTTTGCATTTGAAAATAGCGGTAATTTTCTGGGATGGTCTGTAAGGTCAACCGTATTTTTTATTGAATAGGGCGATCTCATTAAAATTTAAAGAAAAAATTCAAAATCTAACTCTGAGAGTGGCAAGATAGGGGAGGACCTTTTTAATGTGACTATAATATAGACTATGTTATTGTTTAGTATACTAAAATGTGAATTTTAAAGAAAAAGTACCTCAATAGCTTATAAAAGCCAAAAAGAGAAAAATATTTCTAAGACTGTTAAGACAAAGCGTATCGAAGAATTACAGCTCTGATTTCTGAAGCTATTAAATAACGTGGATATCATTTTTGATTCTTACTGTTACTTCAACTTGGTTTTTACTTTTTTAAGACCTATCTTTCAATCGTCAGGTAAAAGTTATCCATCAGAATAAATTATAACCTGACTGAATATAAAAGTGACATAATTAAATTATTTTGTTCTTACAACTGTTATTTTTAATTTGCTTGTGTTGTTTATCCTATGAATAAATTTTAACTGAGGATTAAAAAATTGTCCTTAAGTTTTATTAATAATTTTTCACTGTCGTTACGTAGTACTATTATTTATTCTGCGCTGTCGTCTACAACCACAATATATCTCTTCGTTCCAAGATTTACCTACTAAAGTTGAATACTTAATTCACGAGTAATTTCGAATATTCACGAAGACTTATACGCAGTATCAGCGACAATATTTTACATACATTTAGTATTATAGAACATTTATATTCATGCGGCGAGTCCACGTACGTATAGCCAAGTGAAGTGAGAAATGAAAGCAACAATTTTCTTTTGCGATTTACACAAGTATTCACTAACATTCACGACACGGACCATGCAGATCTTCTTACCGTTACAATCTCTACGAGGTGAACTTTCCATTCCACTTTGTGAACGTATTTGGAGTTTATATTCAAATACGAAAAAAATCAATTTAAAAAGTGACAGTCTATATTCGTTCCGCTGCGCACAGTTTTCGTTTTAATGGGTTGTCGTACCCATCCATCCATCCATTACAATCTCTCAAAAGTCCACTGATGAAAACAGGCCTGCCCTATATACCGCCTCATAAGGGGAATATTTGCCATAGTTACAACGATTTTTTATTTATATAGTTTGAAGTTGTCTAATGACCTTATATTTACACAAACACTATACATTAAATGAAACTAATTTTACGGATTTTATCTCGGTTTATTTTAACTTTTTAATGAGAGCTAATAATTTTCTGCTCACCAGATGTCGCTAGTTGACACTGAGTTAAAGTTTTTTGTTACTCAATGTAAGTTGTTTTTTAATAAAAGTTTATCAGTTTCTAGAGTATTATTTTAATACACAAAACAATGAGTCAGTGGTTTGCTCTTTAATTTCTTGCACATTTTTAACTTTTGTTTTCATTTTTCTATTTTTATGAATATCTGTGGTTTGGTTTATTTATTTTTAATGTTATTAATATAAAACATAGCTAATAGTACCAAAAGAAACAATAAGTTTTACATTTTCCGAACAAATTAACTTCCCCTCTATGAAATCTGTCAAATATTATATACCTCACTTTCTAGTGACGCCGCCCTGGTGGCAGAAAATATCACGGATTCATTGCTTCAAAAATTCAAAAACTGAAAGTACCCAGGCTAACTATGTAATCGGGACGTGCCCCCGTGACCATGGGTACTGTAAAGCACCCAAAACGTCGGCAATTATAAAGTTAAAATTAAACGCGATAAAATCTGTAGTTAGTTTCATTTCCCCATTATAAGTTGATGTCGTTGTCGCCTCTTAGGTATAATATATTATATATGATCTATACATATAAATAAAATTGAAGTTTCTGTTTGTGTTTGTGATGTCAAAATAACAGCTTTTTAGTAAATGTATTATATATATATATATATATATATATATATATATATATATATATATATATATATATATATATATACATTATACATGCACTAATGTACAATGTCTCTCTGTCTGTCTGTTTGTTCCGGCTAATTTTCGAAATGACTAGACCGATTTTGATGGGACTTTCACTGGCAGATAGCTGATGTTATAACTAGTAACTAACGCTACTTTTATTTTAGAAAAAGAATTATGATTCCACGCAAAAATATTAATATACATGAAATCCAATCGAAATAAATTACACGCGGGCGAAGTCGCGGGTAACAGCTAGTTATATGTATTGTTACATTGAAGCATATGGCTTAGTTAATTTCATCGACTACCTTCATGTTGTATCCAGTAGTTATAAATGCATAACGAATAAGTTATTATGAAAAAGCTTAAAGCATTTAACGAAGAATATAATTTAATTTCTGTTCGGGGAGAAACACGTCACCGTTATAGGTACCTAGCTCGAACAGTTAATCAAACGACAGCCGTAATTATAGCTCAGTCAATCACCCTTTCATTACTAGGCTTGAACAATACTTGAGTTAAGCTCTAATTAAACTGTGGTTAATAATACAATCCGTATCGATTGAAATAAATAAAATTGAAATGTCTGTTTATATAATTAAAAATTAAAAATTTTGTACAGCCGACTTCAATATAAGTTATTAAAAATAACTCAAAAACTATTGGTCTGACCTTGATCAAATTCATATGGGACCATACGAGAAGTATCAGCTTTCATATAAAAAAAGAATCATCAAAATCGGTTCACCCAGTAAAAAGTTATAAGGTAACACATAAAAAAAAGCAAAAAAAAATACAGTCGAATTGAGTACCGTCTCCTTTTTGGAAGTCGGCAGAAAATGCGTCTTGTGTAAGCATATCCACTTCTCCGTATCATCCCGTGGGTGTCGTAAGACGCGACAGAGGGAAATCGGCAGCAGCGTCTTCCTAACAACTAGAAATAAAAAAAAACTGCTGTTGCCAACCTGCTTGCCAAGCGTGGCAACTATAGAAAATATCACCCTAATTAGGCAATCTATAGGGGAGGTCTATGTTCAACAGGTGGACTTTAATAGGCTGTAACGGTCTGTATGTAATGTCAAAATAACAGCTTTTTACTGAGTGCTCATGAAAGTATATAAGGTACTTATAACAAAAAAAAAATTAAAAGTGTTTGTCTGTCTGTTTATTCCGGCTAATTTCCGAAATGACTGTACTGATTCTGACGAGACTTTCATTGGCACATAACTGATGTTAAAAGGAAAATTAAATGTTAATAAAATATGTAGGAAAAAGAATAAGGTTTCCGCACAAAAAAATTAAAACCCATAAATGTCCAATCGTAATAAAT